CTCCCTGAGCTGCATCCCCTCCCTGAGCTGCATCCCCTCCCTGGCCTGCATCCCCTCCCTGCCCTGCATCCCCTCCCTGGCCTGCATCCCCTCCCTGCCCTGCATCCCCTCCCTGGCCTGCATCCCCTCCCTGCCCTGCATCCCCTCCCTGCCCTGCATCCCCTCCTGACCTGCATCCCCTCCCTGCCCTGCATCCCCTCCCTGCCCTGCATCCCCTCCTGACCTGCATCCCCTCCTGACCTGCATCCCCTTCCTTCCTTTAGGAAGAGGGGATGGTCTAAACGTTGCAAACTGGCAAAGGAAACCACTTCTGCTGCTTTGTTAGTGACTGCTCTGCACTGGGTGGGTATCCTGCAGCAGTGGGAGGTTAATGGGTGTTAATCCCGTGGCAGAGATGAAATGCCAGGAACTCTTTCCTCACGTGCTTTGAAATGCAGCTACTTGTGAGGAAGATATTTCTGGCAAGCTTGTTGTCTGCTCCATTTTTTAGATTAGTTCTCAAGGTCTTTGAATGGTGAAAAAGCTGGATTTCTGTTGGCTGACACCAGTAAATCCTTGATTTTTATTAATTTTTTTAATTTTCAGAATTTCAACGTTGCTATAAAATAGACACCCCCCCCCCCCCCTTTTTTTTTTCTTTTTAGGTTTTCAGACATGGCAAGTCAGAAAGACATTAATTACTAATCAAGTACCTTTGTGAAAACTTTTCACAATGACTGCAAGGTCTGTGTGGGGTTTTTTGTCTGGTTTTCTTGTGATAAGTTGCCTTCAGTACAGGTAGAGACCATCTACAAAGACCTGAAATAAGTGCCCCAGGCTGTCCAAGTGGTGAGGAGGACAGATGATGTGGAGGAATAGCACCTGCTGTGCTGAAGTCCTGCCCTGCAGTGGTGCTTGCACAAGTCTGATAGGTGCATCAGCCTCATCCCATAAGTGTGCTCTTTGTACCAAACTCCTGATCACTATTACCTTCATTGAAACCCCACAAATCTTATACAGCTGCCTCATCTCTTGAGCACCCACCAGCCCCAGCTCCATACGGAGAGGTATTTTTTACCACAGAACAAGGAGTTGCACTGATCAGCTGCAGGTTTCTAAACACAAACCACCCTATGGTTCTGTGAACTTCTTTTTTGACACCTGTTGTCTGAGCTCAGCAGGCTTTGCAAAGAGGAGGAGAAAGCCAGGAGTGTCCATGACTTGCCACTTCACTTTTTGTACCCATTTCATGTTTCAGGTTTTAAGCTGGAGGGAAATCCTCCCCGAAGAAGCTTTTCTCATCAAGTGAGCCATGTATATATATTTTTAGGAAGGACATCAAACCCAGCCTGTTAAAACAAACAGCTCTTCCTCTGCCAGACCCTGCTGCAGTTCCCAAAACTACTGGCAACGCCAGCACCGCTGCCTGAGGGGGCAAGAGGGGGAGGTGCCTGTGCCGGCTCCACAGGAACCCTGCCTGCTCCGTGGGGATTCAAGCCTGATCCCGAGGGATTGCTGCCTGCCAAGCCTGAACCCAACCACACAAGGAGCTTGCCCAGCCTGCCCTTGCCACTTGCCCCAGGACCTGAGCCGTGTTTGCTGCTGCTGCTGGGAGGGGTCACCCCAGTTCCTGGGAAGCCCCCCCACGGATCTCCTGCCGAGCCTGCAGCCACATCCCGGGAACCATGCTGCAGAAGGAGGGTAAACACACACACACACACACACACTCAACTCCCACCCTGTCACTCCACTGATTCCACCCCTTTCCCTCAGAGTGTGCATTTAATAAGACCACAGCACCTTGGAATTACCTTTCTGATTTACACCTGGACAACCTCTCCTGAACCTTGGCCCCTCAGTTTGTGTTGATCCTTAATAAACCAATTGATTCATCAGGTAAACCTTGGTCTCAGTAACAATTTGTGAGCGTGGTGAGGGGGTGTCCTAACCTACCCTCTAAGATAGGGTCCCACAGGGGCCATTCCTCTGGGAGAGGCCACGTGTGACCCTTGGGCTCATCCACAAACCTCCCCACACTGGGGGGGAAGTCACGGAACCACCTGACAGCTGGGAGCCCCGATACCATCCCGTGACATCTGGTGTCAGAAGTGGGATAGTGAGGGTCTTTTGGAGCCCCCACACCACGCTCTCAATTGCTAAATTGCTAAATTAATATTTGGGAAAAAAAAATAGTATTAAAAAAAAAATCCACCACAGTCAAAATGAGCACCAAGAGCAGCAATGCTGAGGCTGCTGGTGCAGAAAACACCGAGGTTCAGGACAGGCCACCTTCATCATCCTGTCTGTTCAAGGAGGAACTGCACAAATCCACCTTTGTGCAGCCCTTCTGGGACCACCATAAAAAGCGTCAGCACCGTCCAACCTGTGCACAGTACATGTGGATTCAAGGGGCCTGTGTGAAGGAGGAGGACTTGGGGGATTCCTTGGACTCCTCAAATTCCTCAGACTCGGGTAGCACAGGCTGTGAGTCCCAGGGGTGCCTTAAGACAACAAAAAAATGCAAGCCTGTGAGCTCGCCCCAGGTGCCCTTCCCTGGTCAGTTGGATAAGAAACCCGTGTCTGTGAAGGACAAAACAGGACAAGTCAGTCCTTCCCTTTGGGAATCAAAAGGGCAGCCCTCCCCAGCCCAGAGCAAGCAGGAGAGCTCAACAGCTGAGATAAAGGCACTGTGTGAGTTCTTCCTTAAAGAACTGGACCACCTGAAAAAGAAAGTCAACCAACTTTCTGTTAGGGCAGAAGGCATTATAGCCCACTCCTCTTCTTACTATGGTTCTGAGGATGAGGAGGAGGGAGTGGAACATAATAAACACCAGCACCCGGGTGTGAGAACTTCCTTTTCTCACAAAGAAAGGACTGGTAGGAAAAGAGATGTGGTAATGAAAGAAGTATCTTGCAGACCTCTAGAATTGGTAGAAATTAAAAAACAGTTCAGCAGGCTTCCCTCTGAGACGGAAACTGAATATGTGATGAGAGTGTCCCTCACAGGAGGAGACCATATCATGCTAAGTGAACGAGAAGCTAGAGGGTACTGGGGACCTGGGATTATTCTAACGACTGAAGATGAGTCTCACCCCTGGAGCCTAACCCAGCGAGCAGCTTTTTATGTTGGTTCCATTGATCTCCTTATCAGGGGAGAGCCGAGGGTCCTGGGAGAGGACCTCTCTGATCTCTTGGCCAGTGTCTACAAGGCTGCTGCAATCCAAATGATTTATGACCATGTTTTAATACCGGGCCAGGATAGTCCTGTGACTCTTCGAGTGGAACCTGAAAGACTGAATGTCCTAATCAGGGGATTCACTGTGCCACTTAGAAATTTCACCGTGAAAATTAAAGATAAACTCCAAAATGGAGATATGCAAGGATATACATGGTCTGATTTGGCCAGAGAATTGCTAAATTATGTAAGGGATTATTATGATCCTAAATGTTATCGCAAGTCTTGTCCAGTCAGACAAGTCACTCAACCTTCACATGCTGATGTGGCTGCTGAGCCACCCTGGAACCCCCCTCCTCCTCAGCAGCAAGAGAAATCACAGGGTGACTGGACAGTTGTGAGTAGAGGTAAACGAAACAGAAAACCAAACTGCACACACAGAAACCAACCCCCTGAAAACCCATGTGCTGCATCACAAGATAACATGGGGCCATATGCTAAGCTTAAGGAGGAAGCCAGGCGTGTGGGCATCTCACCAAGGCTTTTGTCTCTGGATTATTCTTATCAGCAGCTGAAAGACCTAGTAGAATATTGGCCTAAAGAACCCACGTCAAGGTCTAATTCCAGGGAAAGATCCAGTAAGTCAGATCTTCTGCCAAGCCCTCCTTCTGCTGAGAAAAAGAAATCAAGAAGAAAGTCAAAAAGACAGCAGGGGGAAGAGAAAACACAAAATCCCGATGCAGAAAACAAAAATGATTGGCAGGAAAATGATAAAGAATCAGGCCCTGAAGTTTCCAGTCCTCCAAAAGACTGCCAGAATATACTAAGACTAGTTCGAAACAAAAATGGGGACTTGGAGCTTACCTGTGCTGTCGGGCCAAGACGTTACCCTGTGACATTTGTGGTGGACACAGGAGCACAGATTTCCACGCTGAAAGCTGAGGTGGCTGAACGATGTGGCATCACCTTGTCTCTGAAACCCATGTTCATCAGCGGGGCATTCGGTAACTCTGCTTTACACAGAACAGCTGAAGTCACTTTGAACCTACCAGGAGAGGAAAAACCCATCCGGACTGAAATGATTGTGGGTCACATCCCTTTCAATTTGTTAGGAATGGATGTTCTCATGGGCCGAGCCTGGAGAGATGAAGAAGGCCACTGCTGGAATTTTGGCACACCCACACCGAAGATGAGACTGTCATAGTTGTGCTCTGCACCTGCCACAAAGCAGGGTAACCAGTGTGAGGTAATATTCCATCCCAGTTGCTGCTAAGGAAAGCATTAAAGAAGTCATTTCTGATTTAAAACAAAAAGGCATTATTGTGCCCTGTCATTCACCATTTAACTTCCCGATCTGGCCTGTAAGAAAACCAAATGGTAAATGGAGAATAACAGTTGATTACAGAAAATTGAATGTTAATACAGACACACAGCTGCTGTACATGTTAATACAGACACAGCTGCTGTACCTAACATTGCTGATCTGGTGCTAGAAATCCAGGAAGCAGCACACCCAGTGCTGGCCTCACTGGATGTGAAGGATATGTTTTTCCAAATCCCTATTGATCCTGAGGACCAAAGGTATTTTGCCTTCACTTGGGATGGGGTGCAGTGCACTTTCACAAGGGTGCCCCAGGGATATACACACTCACCCACACTGGCCCATCACGTGCTTGTGTGTGAGCTGGAAAACATTCCAGAAATCAAAAATAACTCCAATGTTAAGGTCTATCAGTACATAGATGATATTCTGATAGGAGTAAAAGCAGCTTATGATGCTATAATCCCCACATGCATGTAGAGGTCCCTGAGGAAAGGAGGCAACCAGCTTCCCAACAGGCAAAAATTTCTGGGAATGAAGTGGAAAGGAGGAACCTGGAATATTCCTTCTGATGCTTTGTCCCACCTGAAGGAGATAAAAGTGCCCTCCAATAAACAAGAATTGCAGGAAATACTAGGAAGCCTTCAGTATTGGAGGAAGCACATCCCAGATTTATCCATCATGGCATGTCCTCTTATTGATTTATTGAAAAAGAATCACTGGGAATGGGATAAATCTCAAGATTTAATTTAATTAAATTATTATTATTGGAGGCACAGACTTTCCAAACTCTGGGACCTCTCCACCCAGATGATCCAATAATAATAGAGTGGGGGTTCTCAGCCAGTGCCTTATCCTATCACTTTTGGTAATGGGGGCCTAATGGGAGTACTCAACCAAATGGCTTCTACTCTCAGTCATGTAAGTGTTCAGAAAAGCCATATTCCATTCTGGAGAAGGGGTTGTTAACAGTTTGCACAGCACTGAAAGAAGTCAGCACAATCATTAAAAAACAAAGGGTAATTCTTGAAGCCCCTTTCCAGGTAGTTAACCAAGTACTGTCTGGAAAGGCCCCTCCAGAAGGAATATCCCAAAAGGGTACAATCAGGAAGTGGTGCAGCCAAATTGAGTACTATTCTGGCCTTTTCAAGCTTGAAGAAGGCCCAGATAAACAATTAAAAATTCAGGAACAAATTGGATCTGCAGATGAGAAGGATTTAATAATGAAAACTCCCAGTCCTATTAAAGAGGCCCCAGAATACAAGAGTGAAATGGTTAATGCTTGGTTTACAGATGAGAAGGGAAAACCTGGTTGTTCAAATCTGCTGCAATGAAACCCTCCACAGGCAAACAAATAATAAATCATGATAAGGGCAGTGCCCAAGTGGGGGAGCTGGATGCTATTTTTGATGTTTTTGTGACAGAAAAAGCCTCCAAGGATGCTGTGGACATTGACACAGATTCCTTTGCAGCCTTAACTTTCTGGGATCAGAATAATTGGGAAATTAACAGGGTGCCAGTTTGGCATAAGGAGAAATGGCAGCAAATACTGAAAATTGCTAAAGAGAACCCTAATTTTCATGCAAGGTGGATTCCTTCTCACCAGACTAACTTGAAAAATGAAGCTAGTAAGTGGAATAACTACGTTGATGAGCTAGAATTGATGTGAAGGAAATCCAATCAGCTATCACAGAAGGAGAAAATCAGGAATGGAAAAGATTGCTCAATGTAAAAGAATGGCCATTCAGGAATCTTTGATTTATACAAAGAGGCACAAGCCCGTGGGTGGCCTGTCACCCATGAGCAGTGCAAGATAGTTATTTCCTCATGGGATCTTTGCAAAATCAGACTTGGGGAACATCCATTAACATCTGATCATTTGCATATCAGGGAAGGAAAACCCATGTGGTCCACACGGCAGGTGGAACACACCGGTCCCTTCTGAAGATCAGGAAACAAAAATCACATCATTGTGATTGTGGAGGTGGTATCAGGATTGAGCTGTGCTGAAGCTGTTTCTAAAGCAAATGGGGAAAACACAGTTAATTTCCTGGAAAAGATATTTGGGGTTCTGCCAAAAACCCACAAACATCCAATCTGACAATGGAACTCACTTCACATCTTGTACAACGATGGGCTAAAAGGGAAGGTATCAAATGGCCATCTCATGTCCCATACTACCCACAAGCTAATGGGGTAGTAGAACGTGCTAATGGGTTAATTAAAAGCCTTGTTGACCCACAGGACTCAAGATGGGATGAAAGATTGAGATACGCAGTCACTGCTAAAAACAACAGGTGGGGGATGAACAGGTGCCCTCACCTAAATGCCTTTCCCCTACATCACCTACTCAAGATAATGGCCAGCACAGAAGACCTTACAACAAATCCAAAACTCCTCTGTAACCTGGACAGGCTGTTCTGGCAAACCTGCCAAACATTGGTGAGGTCAAGCTCACCTTACAAACACCAGTGAATTCAAATACATGGCTTGCATCTGATTTAAATGACAACATAAAATCAGTACAAAGTGGATAATTCATGTTGAGTAAACCAGTGTTTCCTTTGGGAAAAAATCAGTTATTTCTGTGTCTAGTGATGTTGGTTAATATATTGCAAATCATGACAGCTTGAAGAGCCAGAGACATCCCAGTGACAGTGCCAGGCCTGATCAACCTGCTACTGGACTCTGGAGGAGTTACTTTGTGACCACTGTGGGACTGATCACCCAGAACTCACTGAAGTGACACGAGTTCGCCTAAACAAGGTGCTCTATGACATTGTCTCCCTCTGTACTGGCTTTTGAGTTGTTGTTTGCAATCTGTTGTATTGGATGGGAATAATTAGGGACCTTGTTACAGAACTCACTGAAGTGACACGAGTTTGGTTCAAATTTGGGGATTCCCTAAATGATCTGCTTTCTTTTCTTTTTTCTGACAGAACTGAAAACTGAGTTTGTGTTGTAATAACTGCAGTTACTCTATTCC